TCTCTTTTTTTTTTTTTTAAATTTTTTGCTAGAGGGTACGTGTGCTCACTGAAGAGAGACAGAGAGAGAGGGAAAATGAAAAATCTTCCCCCAGGAGGGATCCCCTAGTGCCATAATCCCTTCTCCTCCGTTTTCCTCTTGGGATTTTGGGCACACATGCACACATGCCTGGCGTGCTTTTCAGACCACAGGGTCTAGGACTTGAACCATTCAGTCGGCCATGTGTAATCCAGCCGCCTTAACCACCTCACCACCAGCTATTTCTGCAATGCAAACTCTTTAATGATCTGATCATAAAATGTAGGCTTCCACTAGTCATGCAAACAAGCGGGAGATAAAGTCAGTGGCAGTGGGCAGATGGCCCTGTGCTCAGGTGACCCTTGGGCCTAAGGTGGTGACTGAGTGGCTTCAGGCAGCTGTGGGCCCCCCACCACTCCCTGTACACACCTTCCGCGTCCAGCAGAGAAGGCAGGCAAAGAACAGAACAGATCTAAGGAGAGGTGCTCAGACCTCTTCCTCCAGAGCAGGTGCTTCCCTTGTCTTCTGACACCCCTAGTGTTCCAACCACGCTACCAACTTTGTCTTTAAATGAGAGAATCTCAAAGATCGATGATGGTAAATTTTAACTCGGTTACTTGCTTGCTAAAGCGTAGAAGAATACACTCTGTAACTTTCCACCATTTTTTTTTCTTTCCACCATTTTTGTTAGGTGTAAGTAGTTTCCTGACCAGAACAGTCCAGGTCCTCCAGAGATGAATTCTAAAAGGTCCATGTGGTTAGGTCAGGATTAGAGAAAATCAAGATAATAATAATAATAATGGAGTGCATAACTGCAAATCAGCAGACATTATTGAACATGTATGACATGGTTTAGTAGAAAAAGCACTAAGAATTCAATAAATCCTAGCGGTGTACCTACTATGTGTTCAGTGCTGTGTGAGGCACTGTTGTAATAATAACAAAGGCCATAACAACAGCGAGACAGTAAGAGGTGCTAGGGACTGTTCTAAGCAATTTAGGTATTTTGATTATTCCTATTTTACCCAGGAGACTAAGGCACAAAGAGGTGAAATAACTTGCCTATGTCACGAAACTAGGATCTGGTCTTCCCATTTCACCAAGAGGTGAAATAACGCCAAAAGTGACCCAGTGAGCAGGAGTGGAGCCAGGCAATCTACTCCAGAGCCCCACACTTCAGCTTTAAACAGGTCTGGAACTCAATCCCGCCCTCTCCACCTATAGCTGTGTGACTCTGGGCAAATTACTTAACCTATCAGCATCATAGTCTCCTCATCTGTAGATGGAGCTAATGATATGTACTCTCAGAACTTCGTAAGGACGCTAAATAATGCCTGTAATGTGACTGGCTAGTGCAGTGGCCGGTAGTTGATATCATTATTAGAAAGTCACTCATCTAAATGCATTATCAATCTATTTAGTATGCACTGTTGTGGCCACCGCTGCTGTTAAAAAATATGTTTTAGGGAACCAGCAGTTAGCGTAATGGCTATGTCGCTGGACTCCCACGTAGTCGACCGTGGTTCGTGTCTCGGACCCGGTGGCTTAAAACTCACGCCGGGCGCGTGTGCATGCGTGCCCAAGATCCCGAGAGGAGAATGGAGGAGAAGGGATTGCGGCGTGACCATCCCCCCTGGGGGGTGATTTCTCGCTTTCTGTCTCTATGTCTCTCTCTGTCTGTCTGGTGAGCGCACGCGCCCTATAGTGAAAATCTCTCAAAAAAAAAAAAATGTTTTATAAGTTTAGAGGCTGGGGACCCGCAGATGGCGTAATGGTTACGTCCCATGTAGTCAACCAGGGTTCCAGTCCCAGACCTGGTGGCTTAAAACTCACGTCAGGCGTGTGTGCATGCGTGCCCAAGATCCTCAGAGGAGACTGGAGGAGAAGGGATTGAGGCATGGCCATCCCTTCTCGGGGGTGATTTCTTTCTTTGACTCTCTGGTGAGTGCATGCAAAAATCTCTCTTAAAAAAAGTCCAGGGGCTGGCGAGTGGCATAGTGGTTGGGGGGCTGGACTCCCACATGGTAGACTGTGGTTTGAGTCCCTGACCTGGTGGCTTGCTTTCTCTCCTTTTCTGTCTCTCTTTGGTCAAGTTAAAAAAAAAAAATAACAAACAGAATTTATTAAATAAATAATTCTTTAAAAAACAAACAAACAAACAAAACCACATTGAAATGCTTCCCCCAAAATTGCTAGAAACTCTGCCCTAGGTCCCTTGAGTGGCCCCCCTTCCTGTCTATCTAAGCCCTTGGGCAGGAGACCCTCTAACCCTTGGCATGGTAAGGGCCTCTGGGCCCTTCTGATGTTTAGTGCCTGCTTTGCACCAGTTTTACCATCTCCTGGTTACAAACATGCATCAGATTCTTGCCTTCACAGAGGGCAGTCTGGAAGGGGTGCCGGACATGACCAGAGAAAGTGATGTGGGCAGTGAGAAAGGAGTGGGCCATGTGCAGCTGGATGGCAGACCAGCTCAGCTCGGGTGGATCAGAAAGCCTTCTCAGAGGGCTGTCAACAGTCTGCATGGGGGGATCCGGGTGTTCTGTATTCTGACCACCTCCACCTAGTTCAGGCCTTCATGACCCTTGCCTAAGCTCCCACAAGAGCTTTATAACCACATGGCATTCTGTACACCAATCATCCTAGAACCTACTCTGTGGTTTCCTCACTCAACAACCTATAATTGGTCCCTATAGCCTTAACTCTGTATTGAAGCATCCACGACCCACTATCCTGCATCTCCAGCCACTATTTCCAGCCTTTCCCACTTAACTTTGGGCAGATGCCCAACACAGTTGCCAAGTAAGATGTTCCACACCAGATTCTTCTTCTCCTTCTCCTTCTTCTCCTTCTCCTTCTCCTTCTTCTCCTTCTCCTTCTTCTCCTTCTTCTCCTTCTTCTTCTTCTTCTTCTTCTTTTTTTGGAGAAGTTTTTCCTATAGGGTGCGTGTGCTTGCTAGAAAGACAGAGAGACAGAAAGTGAGAAATCACCCCCCGGAGGGATGGACATGCCACAGTCCTTTCTCCTCCATTCTCCTCTCAGAATCAGGCACGCCCGCACACGTGCCCGGAGTGAGTTTAAGCCATGGGGTCTGGGACTCCAAACTTGGTGAGTCCAGCAACGTAGCCATTACGCCATCTGCTGGTTGCGAGATTCTTTTGCTTCTGCTGCTTGGAACTTGCTCATCCTGCCTCTGGGTTCCTCAACACCTCAGATACAATTTCTTTGGTGAAACTTTCTCCTATCCATGTTCCTTTCTTCTCCCACCGCAAGGTCGTGTGTGGGGTCATGTGTTCTATTATCTGACATAGTTTGATAATGTAGTGCATGTTACCTTGTTTTATCCTCACATTATCTGTTTTCAAAATGACTGAGGCATAGAAAGGTGCAGTAACTATGCAAAGGTCACACAGCGAGTAAGGGGGACAGCTGGTATTCCAAACCAGGAAGTTGTCTCCAGGACCTGTTTTATTAACCATTGTTTTACAGTGACTAATAGCTCTCCAAGAAAGAGAAAACAGGAGAAACAATCTCTCACATTATTACTACATATGCTGCTGGGTTTTGTAATGATGTGTGTAATTATCTTTCCTCCACTACACGGGCTGAACATTCCCAGATGGAGAAACTCGGTCTCTAAGCCATACAGCCTGGTATCTGGTTACCATTAATAAGTTGTGGGCAAAGGTGGTGTTACTGAGCCATCATATCCTTTGGAGGCCCCCTGATTATCATTTGGCCATGATCAAGCCCACATTTTACTAGCATTTTTCCTAAATAAATGCTTTCTCTGGCCAAGCCCTGGTGCAGGATCAGACTAACTGTCCCAAACAGCTCTAGGGAAGTTGTGCTTAACTTTTATTATTCAGACTATGACTAAGAGTGGTCAATTATCTTCTGAAGCATGTATGATTTCTCCTTTTTAGAGCAGGAGAAACTAAAGTGCCCTAAGGTCGTTTACCCAGAGTCATCAGGCAGGTCTGTGGGGGAGCCAGCAGTCCAGAACCCTGGACAAACCACGTGGTGATCCTGCCCCAATGCCATGTACTTATAATGATTTGTAGATGGCTTAAGTTGTTGACTGGCCAAAAAACTCTGAAACACCTTTCTCCTATATTTCTACCTTGACACAGAATGAAATTATGATATCATAACAAGAACACAGGACTTCTCTCTTTGTATTTTTAGAACTTGTTAGATTTTGGGGGGCTGGCAGGTGGTGTGGTGGTAGTTTGAGTCCCAGACCTGCTGGCTTGCTTTCTGGCTTTCTCTCTCTGTCTCCCTCCCTCCGTCCCTCTCTGGTCAAATTAAAATAAATAAAGAAAGTTAAATAACACAATTAAATAAAAACTTGTTAGATTTTTCCATGAGTGGACTGGTCAGTTCTTGTGTTGAAGAAATATGATTTAGGAGAACCTATAATATTTTCCGTTTCGCCTATGTAACCACTGGGTTTGTTGTAGAATTTAGAAGCCCAAGTGATAAAAGAACCAGTAACTTCGTGCGTAGGCACAATATCTTGGTAAAGAGCCAAAAACGTAGGGACTTTTAGGACCTGTTCCTTTTCTTTGGGGTTAGAATTGGCAGCCTAGAGGTCTAGGGACTCATTCAAAAATAATATCCGCAAACACCGTGTAGTAACACTATTTGTTATCCAGGGGTATCCTCTGCCGCACGTTGCCAGTATTGCCCTCATCTCCATTTCTGCCACAGTTGGCCGGGGCTTCCAGGTGTGCGCCGCCTGGGAACGGTGACAGAGTGGGGAGGGCGAGGCTGTCAGAAAGGATCAGGACTTTATTGCGGGCAGAGTCCACCACCACTTTCGGGTGAAAGTTCGAAAGGTTTCGCTTGGGTTCCGGCAAACAGCGCACAGGCCAGAAACTTGAACTATAAACAGCACCGTAAACACCCAGATCGCAGCAGCGCCTCTGGCCCCGGTCCCCACCAGGGCCCGGCGGTGACCTCTTGCCTGCGCCCCCTTTAAGAGCCTGCTCGGCGGGACTAACGTTCGAACGGGCCCTGGCGCCCCTCCTCGGCCTCCGATTGGCTCGCGCGGTGCACGAGGACGCGCCGGTCTGTACCGGAACGGTTGGCGGCCTTCTCTGATTGGCTATCGAAGAATCTATATAAAGCGCGGGGCGGTGCCGCGCCGCTCAGTTTAGCGACTGGACTTGAAACGAGGCTGTCTGGTGGTACGGAGAGGCTTGAGGTAGCGCGCGTCGCCAGAGTCGTTTCTTTGCGGAGTCTCCAGCTCTCCAGGCTGCGCCCCACGGGCGGACTTGTGTTCTCCTCTCTTCCTACCCCTAGCTGCCCAGCGTGAGCCAGTGCTGCCCTTTCCCCTCGGCGCCAGCCCCGAGAAGGGAGGCAGAATGGAGTTCAAGCTGGAGGCTCACCGCATCGTCAGCATTTCCCTGGGCAAGATCTACAACTCGCGGGTCCAGCGCGGCGGTATCAAACTGCACAAGAACCTCCTGGTCTCGCTTGTGCTGCGCAGCGCCCGCCAGGTCTACCTGAGTGACCCGTGCCCCGGCCT